CCCCCCCCCCCCCTCCCCCTTCAAAACAATGTTGACTGTTATTGCAAGCATTGTGCTACACAATTTCAACTCAATCAGGAGCAACATTGCTCTGTAGGGGGGAGGGGAGGAGAAAGGAAATCATACTTTCACATGGGTAGTCTCATAATTTTTGTGAAGGATTGCTGCTGTTCATATATGTGTGCATGTCCGTTTATTTCAAAACTTTAGAAAATAAATATTCATGATGATCTAAACAAGATTTCTGGAAAAATTTCGCTCCTTTGCAGTTCAAGTATCACTCAATTCGGCGAAACCAATTCAATTTCTTGAGATTTGGGCACACAGGGGAGTTAATTAATTAGTATAGGTAATCACACGGGAAGGAGTGCAATTAATGATTAACACTACGAGTGTTATTTGAACTAGGGATCCAAGGATAGTGTGAAGTTTCAAATTTAAAAAGACACTGCAAGAACTATATAGGGTCGCCGACAACCTAGAAAAGCTTGATGGCTTACACTACGAAATAAACAGTTACCAAAGGCATTTCATCTCATTATTTATTGCTTTTAAATTAATACGCTCGGCACACGAGTAGCGTGACGTTTGAAACAAGCCTAACACATCAGAAACGTGCCTTGTGAAACTGATGCAATTCATCTATTTATTGTGTCACCAACAACCAAATTTTGCATATTCTAAATTTTCATTTGCATTTGCAGCTGTCGCTGAAAGCATCCCCACGAGGCTACTGCCATGCTAAATTTATCTAATAAACTATAATTGAAATAGCTGTATAAGATATGTTATGAATAATAAGCACTACGTCGTTACATCATTAAAAGACGCATTTTATCCTCATCCGTTCCATATTTTATCCGCATATCCGTTCCGTGGATCCGCTCCATCCGCTTCCGCATTTTAACTTAATGTGACATGTTTCACAATAACAAGTTTCATTGACCTTTGACTTTTCCCAGTGTGACGTTTGTCTATTTTCAGCTTTTCGCATGTGTTGAATATACATATCACTGTTTTGGCACTTTAATAGTAATAACTTACTGACCGAGAGTGAGGGCAGTACGGGAAAATATCCAACCGAGGTCTTGCTGTATTGACGGAGCGATAGCGAGGTCAATACAGCAAGGCCGAGGTTGGATATTTTCCCGTACTGCCCGAACGGTTGAGGTCAGTAAGTTTTTTTATTATATGGCATTGTACGTTTGTAAGAAATGGGAAAAAAAGGTCACGCGAGAGCAAAGTACAAAGTCCGAAACATTTGCAAAAAAAGAACAATTGTAAAAAATGTTCTCAAGCTTGGTTAGTAAAACTACTCCACAGCACTTTTTATATAGAATACAAACACAGTTGGATAGTATTTCAAGAAAAATACGAGATATTTCGTCATTTAATCAAAGACAAAGACAACAAATATGGAAACAATAAAATTAATAAACAGTATGGACAAGTACGTTTTTAGTTCGCTTCATCTCATAAATAGATCTCTTTTTATCGAAAAAACCCAGAAATTTTCAGGGGGAAATATAAATCTGTGGCTGCTTTAGTTGTATGGGAAAAAAAGGTCACGCGAGAGCAAAGTACAAAGTCCGAAACATTTGCAAAAAAAGAACAATTGTAAAAAATGTTCTCAAGCTTGGTTAGTAAAACTACTCCACAGCACTTTTTATATAGAATACAAACACAGTTGGATAGTATTTCAAGAAAAATACGAGATATTTCGTCATTTAATCAAAGACAAAGACAACAAATATGGAAACAATAAAATTAATAAACAGTATGGACAAGTACGTTTTTAGTTCGCTTCATCTCATAAATAGATCTCTTTTTATCGAAAAAACCCAGAAATTTTCAGGGGGAAATATAAATCTGTGGCTGCTTTAGGATTGTGTCAAATTCCTCGGCTATCTGCAAATAAGATTTGCAGCTCTTCACAAAGTCAAAACACAGCTATTCCTGACTTCTTTAATAGTTATAAACATTGTAAAATTTACCTTGTAATTTCGACTTTCGCTAACAAAAACATATTGAGAAAGTTCTTTATCCAAAGAAGGTGCTCCTTTTCTTTAGTTTAGGTTTATTTTTCTTCGCAAAATATGGCGATTTACTCTCAAAGTTAGAACAATATCGACGAAAATGTGAAGTAGATCAAACATCAAAGGGACTACCGACTGAAATGGAACCCAAACAACAGAGGTCTAATCTGGAGAGAATCAAGGTACCACAATTTTCTGGAAACATTAAACATTATCGAACATGGAAAAGAATTTTCGAGGACACTATGAAGAGAAATTATGAAAATGAAGGAAGTCAACTTGCAAGATTGATTGAAGCTATCCAACCCCCCCCCCCCCTGAGATATGAAATTGAATGTTTTACTACAACTAAAGCGATATGGGAATTTCTCGACAAGTTATTTGGAGACGACAAAGAGTTGATTAAAATTTTGATGAATGATATCAAAACAATGAAACCCTTGAAGGTCAAAGATGCAAAGTCGATTCGGAATTTGGTCGCAACAGTTCGTGGGTTTATTCTCAGAATGGAGGATGTTGGAGCATCTGACGAAGCCAAAAGTAGATATGTGTTTGCTGATATTCTGGCGAAATTGACGGTAGAAGATCAAAGAGCTTACGCACGGAGTATGATTGATACAAAGAAGATTGAAAGCCTGCATACCTTGTTGGAATACCTAGAAGAAGAGGCAAAAATAATGGCAAGTAGTCAATCGGATCAACGCTCTTCAAAAATTGGGATTTATCCAGTTAATGTGGACGGTGGTTACAATGGTGCCCCTGGTTGTGGTTTGGGTTGTTCCCAACAGCATGGTTTAGGTTATTGTCCAGCATTTAAGAAGATGAAAGTGAAGGAAAAGTGGAAGTGGTGATATCAACAGTTGTGGAAGACCACATCATTACCTATTGCATAAAGATCCAAAACAAGTGGACAATGGCAATCTGAACCCTGATGCACAACCATTCAAGCCAGATCAGGATGAAGCTACAGGCACAGGAAAGTCCAATCGGATTGGTGCTATGTCAGCTGGTAATGCAGGAACTGCAAATGTACCAACTCAAAAGGTCAAAGTGCATAGTGCCAATGGGAACTCTATTGAGGGACTTGCCATGGTTGATAGTGGTTCTAATAAGAGTCTCATTCGGAAAGAGTTTGCGGACAAGCTCGGTTTGGTCGGAGAATCAAAAAATATGACGATGTATGTTGCGGGCGGTGGAATTAGAGTTGACGATTCTGCTGAGTTTGATTTAAAGATATCGCCCTGTTATGATGAAGATATTGTATTCAATGTGAGAGCTTATTCAGTCAAGCAACCATGCCAAGCAGCCAAAGCTATTTCAAAGAAAGCGGTAGTCAGATTTCCTCACCTTGTTCGAATTGTAGAAGATCTACATTTAAATGGCGGTCCAGTGGACATTCTATTGGGAACAGATCTACCGGAAGCCCATCGTGATTTTAAAGTTCTGGCGGGTAACCCTGGTGAACCGATTGCAAAGAAGAACATCTTTGGTTGGTCAGTCCTTGGTAATCTTGGAGAGAATAGTACACCTGGAATTTTTGCTGTCCAAACCATTAACGACATAACAAAGGACCAGGACATAAAGAAATTAATTTTCCAAGATCAATTAAGAATCAAACCAACTGGTTACTGTACGTGCTCTGAGAAAGAAATGCGAGACCGGGTGTCGAAAGAAAGGCAGCTGGTAAAGAAAGGAAAGTTGGAGGCGTTTAACAAGGAAGTAAAAGCTTTGGTCGACAGAGAAGTAGTCATTAAGCTGAAACAAGAGGAAGTAAACCCAGAGGAGCCGGCTTGGTATCTAACGATTGGAAAAGTGGAAAGTCCCGACAAGACTACCAAGTGCAGATTAGTTTTCGATGCAGCAGCCAAAATGGACGGACTTTCCCTCGATGATGCTCTTGAAAAAGGACCATGTCTTATGAATTCCTTATTTGATGTGTTGATTGGCTGGAGACAGAATAGAGTCGCCTTTGCTGGAGACAACTCGAAGATGTTTAATGAGATAGCTGTCCATCTGGATGATCAGAAATACCACAGATTCTTGTGGAGAGACGGAGAAACCGACAGAGAGCCTGACATGAATGCCATTAATCTTCTCGCTGATAGAGCTCAAGTCAAATCACCAGAAGCAGCAAGAATCTTAAAGGATAATACTTATGTTGATGACGTTGCGGGGTCGGAGACATCACCAGAGAAAGTCAAGAAAGTGGTCGATGGTATCGATACCATTTTGGGCAAAGGCAAGTTTGCCATCAAAGCGTGGCACAGCAACAGCCCAGAGATTGATCAAGATGGCAACGAGAATCCGGTGAGTCTACTGGGTCGTCAATGAAACACGAAAGCTGATAGCATTGCTTTGAAGAGCGAGACAATGTATACAGATCTCAGTTATTGTACGAAACGAAAGGCTCTTGGTGTGGTGTCTCAACTGTGGGATCTGCTAGGACTGATGGCGCCAGTTACAATTCGGTTTCGAATTGATCTCCAGAATCTATATCAGTGGGATGAGTTATTGCCACCTGAAGAAAAGTTAAAATGGCAAAAGAATGTCGGAGTTGGTGATCTTGTATTAGAAATCGATGGGAATCGCAAGAGAGGTGAGTGGCAAATGGCGTTGGTGGAAGAAGTATTTCCTGGTGGTGATCGTAAAGCCAAGATCAGAGCGTCGAAGGGAGTCTACGAAAGACCCATAGCGAAGTTATGCTTAATTGCAACCCGACAAGAGCTCGATCGCGAGCAGAATGAAACTTTAGTACAACATAGTTAAAAAACACTGAAAAGACAGGCATATAGACAGTAATTTCGTTGCTCAAACGTTGAGTTGTTAACGTTTTCCGCACTGGGGAGGAGTGTTTTGGCACTTTAATAGAACTGCATAATGCATGCTAATTATTTAATATTTAATTAGGTTAATTTTGGTCACGTGTTGTTTGTTTTAATCATACGATCGAAAGTCGAGGACAAAAGGGAACAACAACTATTTTGACAGCCAAATAATACGATAAAAATGTATTAAAACTTGTACGAAATAAACCTTAGAACATTGTCCGTGTCTTTGTGTTGCGAAGAGTTCACAACAATCACTTTAGATTTCAATAGTTTCACAGTTATAGCAGTGTTTAAAACATTTTTGGCAAGTTTTGATACAGTTCTGTGTACAGAATACTACAGATTGATTCTCGTAAGATCTGGTAGAGTTATCGTTGCACTGAATACGAGTTTGCACCGTTGACAACGGCGTTGTGCTAGACACTAGACAGTAAACAAAGACACGGTCCGTGAATGTACACGTTGGCTACATGTACCTCCTTGCTTTTTTCTTCTATTGCATAAAGCTTGTTGGCGAGCCAATTAAGCGATTAGCGATAACGCGTTGGCGATAACACCTAAACACGTTGGCTATCTCCTCGTCTTTCTTATTTATACAAGGAGCTCTGACTCAACTGATTCCTTTAGTCTCGTAAGTTTTTTTCTTCGTAAACGCCGTACAAACGTTTACCCGCTTCTGTTTAATAGTTGTTTATGCTTTATTGATCTGATATAAATCTGATGCAATTTTTCGCTCTTTGTACTGAGTATAGCCATCTATTCTGTGATGTAGCACCTTATACAGTCAATGAGAATGTATAATGAATACACGGTCTAAATAATATCGACGGTAATGCATAACATCAATTTATATATTGTA